CCTACGCTGGGCTTTGCAACATCCTGCTTTACGATAAATATTTACACCTGTTGCACCAACTAAAACTACGATCACGCACAACTACGCTCAGCGTGGATGTGCATTGTCTACGTCGAGCGTAGTTGTGCCTGATCGTAGTTTCGTAGACACATTCTCCCACAGTTATAGATATAGCTGAGACGACGTTCACGCCGCAATGGCTACAACTACTAATATAGAACTGAATTGCTCAAGACATAATATAAGTGAAATCACCGCGCTATGATTTCATTGAGTAAACATTTCCTAACAAGTCCACGTGTTTATATCTGAAGTCTCCCTGCATTCCCATGACAGATTTCATCAAGGTTAAGTAAAATATAATAAATGTAATACAATGCTTCTCTCTAGAGTTATTTTTTTTATAGCTGACTATCAAGTTTATGTACAATGAATATCTTTCCTGAAGTAATTTACTTTACGTGACATTTTGTGTTTTGCTGTCTTTCTGTGGCTGAAAAAACACTTTTATGGTTTGTATTTTGTGATAAAATTCACAGAATTTGAAAGCTGATCATTTATTTCTGATTAAAAGTAACAAAGGACAAAACTTATTGCGATTATTGGATGGCAGGCACGCTACAAATAATGAATTGAATTAAAGACGGGAAATATTTTCAACCACACTGTCCTTCCAAGCAAGATGTCAAATGGTTAAGTTTCTTTTAATAACCCCAGTTCATATGTAATATTTTACTGCATAATTATTACATGCTTGACAGAAATATATTTTGTATTCAATGTCGACAGTGTGATAGATTGATATCGCCATCCTGCCCGAAAAGACCATAAACATTACAGGTCACGTCTGCAGTAATAATTAACTAACAGACATGAATCCTAAAAACAAATAATGTCCGAGCAAATCATGACTTTTCACTTTACACCTACATCTGACTAGGCATAAGATTTAGTGTCAGACGTAGCACTACGCCGAAATGGTGCAACGGGTATAAATTCTACGCACGACTTAAAGTGCCATTTACGTCCAGCCTAGTCTTACAACCGGGTGTACGTCCAGCTGGTGCAACTGGCCCATGATCTCATAAATTGACCGTTAAGTGTATTTGTTTGTGAATGCATTTTGATTTGTTAAAATACAGTGACATTTTGTGCACTTAAATGCCTGGACATCATAGCATTAGATCTTTATGCTTTTTTAAATACTTTTTTTTTTTTACATGCATTAACATGGTAACATGGTTTTTAATTTTCTGTGCTCGAACCTGTGCATTTCTGTGCTCATTTTACCATGTGTGTTGAAGCATGTGTAAGTGTTTGCATGGTGTGAGTTTTGGCATGCTCATGTGTGCGCGTGTGTGTGTGCATGTGTAAAGGCCCACATGGTTAAGTAGTATTTTTAGCTCTGTGATTCATGCTTTAGTTGTTCTGATGTTGTAGAATTGAGCTGATTGAATGGTGAACTAGATTTCCGTGTGGTCCGCTGTCCCCTACACACTGCAGGAGCTACAGGCTATGCTGCTTTCATGACATAGTTTAATTTAATTTATTGACCCATTGCTGCATTAAAGAAACAATTCCCTTAATTAATACCATGCTTTATCAGTAGCGTATATTTAAATCCATGTTCTCAGACCATAACTACAATGAAAACATTGATTTATACTGGCTCCTGTAAAATATGAAATTGCTGTTGTAGATTAAATCATATTGATTAAAATGTTTGTGCATAATCCTGAGAAGAATCAGTGTTTAGGCCAAGTAAAGTTTGATGAATGGTTCATTTTAATTAACAAGTTATTACAAACAGTGTAGAGAAGTGCATATTTCTTTGATTTGATAAGATTGAGACTCGAGTTCACTGTTTTGAGTGGCCAATCAGCTTTTCTAATGCCCACGGAGAACTGAAAAACCTAACTGAATATACAGTACAAGCTCTGTTTCAAAACTTAGCATGCAGCTCACTCAGACAGCATCCTAACTGAATACAATGTTGTAAGGGAATGATTTGAAATGCTTTGCATAAGCATGAACACTGCACAGCCTGTCCGCCACAAGAAAGTAATTCTACACTAAAAAAAAAATCATGTAGGATTTCATTTGAAACCATTTTCACTCAGAAATTGTTAGTACATTTTGCAAATACTTACAGTACTAAGAAATGGCAACCAATATGCCACGTAAAATTTTGAAGTAGAAAATCTAAAATAATGTTTTCTTGAAAATCATATAGTCCAATAGTCTTTGTATTGACAACTTTGAAAAATCTTATTTTACAGTGGGAGAGGTCACATTTACCTTTGTATTGTAAATCCTGCAGGATAAACATAGGTGCATGTGAGGCATTTGATTTGGCTTCAGACTCAAGTTTGTTAAACTTTGAACACACAAATTCACTGTGTTGACTGATATAAAGCTGCTTAGTTTGGAAGTGACCTCTTGAGCAATCAGTTCTTCATGCATCACTATACTGTTGATAATGGACCACCTGTGTCTGCAATGTTTTGCTAATGTGACTGCACCTTAACCCTAACTTACAAGTGATTTCATTAGTTTGAAGTTAGCATGTTGCTAACAAGTAGCACAGATAGCAAGAAAAACAGTACTTTTTTAACTAGATTGAACAGTACTATTGATATATTTTCCAGTATTGAATGAATTGTATGTTTATAGGCAAGATTGTATTGATAGTATTGGTTATGTGCGTTTGTGGTTTTGTATATGTTTGTGTTAAGTATTTTATGATGAGTTTGCATGCAGCACTCTGCTCTTCCCACCTACCCTCTGCCCCCACACCCCAGGGGAATCATGGTTAAAGCATTGATTGACTGTCTGTGGACCATCCTCACAACCTGACAGCAACTCAACGAGCCTGGTTTCAATCAGCATGTTTGTGTGAGTGCCCTTGTGCCTGTTAGACCCTTGCCCTCTTAAACACACACACACTCCAGTGTTGTCCTGTCCCCAGTGCGATAAATGCCCCCAATGAATCACTGTGACATTCAGAGCAGCTGGACCACACTGTCAGCTCTCTCTCTTTCACTTCTAGTATCCAGTATTTTTTTTTTTTTAGAAGAGCCGAGATTAGAGGAGGGGTGGTGCAAGCAGACAGGGTGGGTCTCTATTGTGCAGAAGTGAGAGAAAGAGGTCGAGATGGGGGTGGAAGAGGGAGAGAATTTCCCTCCTTTGCATCAGTTGTACTTTAGATATATAAAAATATATGTAAACTAAAACTAAATATTATATATACAAAATGTTATCAGTAAATATGTGTATATTTATGTGTATCTATATATGTATATTATATATGTGCATATATATATACATTTTAGAGTTTGTCTGCAATGTTCCTCATAAGTTGCTATATGTATATATATATAATTTATTATATATTATGAATTATATGTTATATAATAATATATAATAAAACAGTACAATTATACAATATATATAATATAATATTAATCAAATTTAGATAGATAGATAGATAGATAGATAGACAGATATAATTATAATATAATTATAATTCTAGTTAACTTATGGTGTATTTATTAGGGCTACCCACGACTAAGGATTTTTCTGGTCGACTAGTAGTCGTTCATTTTAAGCATTAGTCGACTAATCACACATTTATTAATAAACCATTTAAATCATTATAATGAGCCTTTAATTGCCTACAAAGCCTAATAAGCGCTCAAGCGCACTCATAAAGCATAAGCTATGATTATGAATGTGTCAGGGAAAACAGTAAGGAGGCTGCATTAACATTTTAATAATTCACTGATAAACTACTGCTTTCTTTGTTTTCGGTTTAAAGGGGTCATATGATGCTTTTTTAAAGATCATTATTTTGTGTACTTGGTATAACAGAATATGTTGACATGCTTTAATGTTCAAAAAACACATAATTTTTCAAATACTGTACATTATTGTAGGTCCTCTATGCCCCGCCTCTCTCAAACGCTTCGTTTTCTACAAAGTCCCTCCTTCCGACAAGCGCAGTCTGCTCTGATTGGCCAGCTGACCCAGTGTTTGTGTTTGTGTTGTGCCCCCCCCCCCCCTCTCTCTCTCTCTCTCTCTCTCTCTCTCTCGCTCGCTCGCGCGCACACACACACACGATGCGCTAAACTCGCATTTGAACAGTCAATAGAAAATACTTAAACTAATAACAAAACAGTAGCTGATTCAGAAGCGCCAGATTGTCATAGCAAAGTCAGAATTACCTCCTCTCCTAGGTTCACGAAACGGTCGTCCATAAAATGCATTGCTGTTCTGTTGTAAGTAATCTTAAAGATTCCTAAATGCATCTACTTTCGGCAGAAATAAAGTGCTTTTGCTTTCGCCTAGAAACACACAGCGTCTCCCTGACATGGCTGCTTCAACACTAACTGCGGTTACTGAAACCACGCCTTCTTTCTTTGCATGAACATTTGGGCGGCATTATGCTAATATTTCCACATAGTGAGGTAGATATGTGGGGGCGTGTTAGAACGAGCCGTTTTAGGGGGGCGTGGCAGAGTCTTAACTTTGATAAAGAATATCTCTTTGGTTTTGAGACTAGTCTTTGCAACTTCAGGGATCTTATCTATGCACAATCAGCTTGTAACACTCCAAAGAGAAAGGAAAACTTGAAATCGCATGATATAATGACCCCTTTAAGAGATAAACTCGGCGACACTTGACTCGTCCACAGTATTGGTTGCGTTTTTATGCATGTTTCACATGGATTACATAATCTGAGAATATTTGTTTTCCATTTGAATTGCTTCATTTGAAAGTAGACATTTCACTCTCTATAGATATATTTTTAATGTCTGTAAGGCAAAAGATATACACCGAGTTTCGCGCTCAAGTTCACAGACCGAGACGGCAAAAAGCACATCCTGTTTGCTTTCATTATTTTACAAAAGTGCGTTTTGTTGTTATTGTGAGTGCACATAAATAAATGTAGAGTCTTTGCAGATTTGAAAGATGTATTACTCTTATCTATATAACCAAAAATGACGGGGTATTTTAAGAGTAAGTGAGCGCACCAGCGCCTCCATCTGTCCTGCAATGAGCACGCTGCTGTTCAGCTTCCGCACAGACACTTGAACAGCGGACATTTCTCTAGGTTAACATTAGATTGAGCGGCCATGTAAAGTTGCTAATACTTACATATTTCAGATGATAAGCCATATTTGTGGTGGATGAATGATAGGCGAGCATTTGGATGTCCTGCCGGATGTACTGTATTACCATAGACCAGCCGTTAATGACCTACGTGACTTCGCCAATGTATTTTTTTTTTTTCTGTGACTAATAAAATTTTAGTCGACCAAGCCTCTTCTGGTCGACTAACAATTAGTCGACTATTAGGGGGCAGCCCTAGTATTTATAAATAAGTGCTGAGTGCTATGCTTAGCTGTTAGACAGTTTTCACCATGAAAATCTGGTGTGTGATTTGTCATTGAAGCAACCCATCGCCTTGTGCTGGTCTGAAGAGATGAGGGACGAGGAGGGAGAATCTGTAAGAAATGTGTGTGGTAGGTGTGCGGTGAATAAGATTCTGTTAGACTGTGGGGGGAGTGCAGTGGGGGGAGTTGACTGACGGGCTCAGGCTTATCGGAGGAGCACACTAATTGGAGGTCATCCGCATGAATTAAAAAAACAGTCAATTACTGCACAAGTAAAGAGCCGATCATCTCTCATTCCCTCCTGCTTGCTGCCACCCTGTTTAGATGCCTAGTACATATGTGTGGGGGGGTTCAAAAAGTACACCGTCTATCCTCTCAGCCAATCAGCGCACGGACAGCACCACTTGATGAAATGTTTGTGTTATGGTGACTCCTCACAGGCCCTGCTGTGTAGACTGGATCATTACGCCTGATTGGTCGTTACTGAGATTCTGAGGCAGGAAGCACAGCGGTGCTATCGACTGTTGTGCCTGCACCCCTCTGCGTGTCTGTGGGTCACATGCAAACACACACACCTGCTAGAGTAATTGCGGCAATAAACATAGCGACAATCACTTGGCCCGCTGTTTTGTTTCCTCAGAGATATAGATTTTTTTTTTACAGTTAACATTGAATAGAAGTAGAATGAGTTTTTAAAACATTACATTAAATATATAACATGTTTTAAACTCACCCTTAACTATTGTATTTGTAGGATGGGTAGAATTTAAGTCTAAAAGCAGGATGGATGGATGGAGAATGTTCAGACGCAGTCGGCTTGTCTGTATGGCTTTTACTCTGGATGATTAAAAGGGGAACTCTCTCCGCAGGAGTGAACTGGACCGGGGCCAGCTGAGTGACATGAGCCAGGGCTAATCATATTTCACGCTTGTCACACGGTTAAGTGGTATTATTTGCTGTCATTATTCGCATTGAATGAGAAAGGAGAGCTTCAGGAAGCTGCCACCTGCTTTTAGGGATTCATATTGCGTTAAAGAGGTTATCAAACTCCCTTCCACTGGCCTTGCTATAAAGCACAAGGGTCTTTGTGCCTGTTTGTCTGAGCTGGTCTGAATATTACACTATGATAAAGCAGCTCCCACCAGTCCAGTTATCTCAGAGATTAATTCTGTGTGGACACACAGCTAATGCTCCAAAGTGACACTGGCCAGTTGACTTTTTTTTATTATTTTTTTTATTTGAGCAATATTTTAACCTATATTCATGCTTTTCTGCTTGATTCAAACACCTTTCCTGAAAAACCAGTGAAGGCGGGAATGGCAAGAAAAACTGTGAGTGTGTGTGTGTGTGTGTGTGTGTGTGTGTGTGCGAACGCTTTCGAGCTTTTTAGCAGAGCTGGCAGGCATTAGTCCGGCCTTCCTCTCCCTGCATGAATACTCTTTATACTCCAATAAATATGCGGCTGTCTCTGCCATGCTCACCCCTACACACATTCGATGTCTCTTTTTCTGGCTTTCTCTCACTCTTTGGCTTATTCTTCCATCCCTCTTTCTTTCTGCCCCTCTCCCTTAACACCCAGCTTTCTTTTATCTTCCTCGTTCTCACATCTTCTCATCCAGTGTCCTCCACTGATAATTTCACCATCCCCCCATCCTCCTCTCCCTTCCTCCATCAATGTTCAGTGCCCCTGACTCTGACCTGCTTCCCACTGCCCTCGTCCCCTAACTCACTTCGCATCACCCCCTCCCTCTTTTCATCCAATCTCTATCCCTCCTTCTCCAACTGGCCTGTGCCCTCTCCTCTACATCCAATCCATCCTGTCCTATCTCTTTTTCTTCCCTCTGTCTCTGTTTTTCCTGCTGGCACTGTACGTTGACCCCAATTCTGCCCTCGCTGTTGTTTCCCCCTATAGCTGTGTGTAGGCATTACAACTGTACACCTCTTGTACATTGTAACTGTACGTCATATTTTATTTTTTTTTTTAAATTTTCTGTTTCTTATTTTCACAGTTCTTTATATCTAGATTTGCCGTATTAGTTTGCTGAGGTATCTGTTTGTATGTGCAAGATTATTTTTTCATGTCATGTTTTTTCTTATTATTTGTAAATTCAAACTCAGTGAAAATGTATTATAGCTTATATTTATATTAAATGCAGTTAAATGAACTTAACAGTGATTTTTGACCCACTTGGGTAAATTTAAGTACATATTTATGTAATTTCATAATTACTTCTGTTGTCTTTGAAATAAGGTTAAAGTGCCCAAATGTACTGACAAGCATTTATAGTAAAATGCGCTTTCATGTCATTTCTGTTGAAACTTGCACTGTATGCCATGAATAGAAAAATATTTGTAATTGCACATTTTTATAATGAAGTTGCAATTTAGTACATTTAAAATATATTAAATATATATTAAAATATATGAATATTATATTAACATTATATTGAATAGCACACTACATTTAAAATTATTATGAAGTACTTTACATAAGGATATATATTTGCCATTATTACAAAATGCACTTGTGTGTTAACAAACAGTCATGAAAGTTTGCTCTATTTAAGTACACTTAATTTGCCTTTTATTGTATTAATATTATATTACCTGCAAGCACAGTTTTTTTTAAATATAGGCCTACTTGATATAAAGTAGACTACAAATACACATTCGATTCAGTTAAGCACACTTTTATGGCAATATAATGCATTATATTGAGAAAAAAAGAAGAATGGCAACAAATGAGATATACATGTCATTTCTGAAAGGAACACTTCTTTTTCTCAAAATTCACAAAATGTATTGCACTTGTATATCTGGGTTATGTATTTAAGCACAGGGGTGTATGTTTGTCTCTTTGTCCATGTGTCTGAGTGTGTGTGTGTGTGTGTGGTGCTTTATTCAGCTCTGCTGTGGTATAGATCTCTTAATGAACTAATTTCCATACATCCAGCTCTTCAAAATGGACAGTAGCGAACACCACATACATCAATGTAAAATACTTTCTTCTGTTCCAGTATTACTATAAGTAAACTATTCATTGCTTCATTGCCCTAAGCACTGTTGCTCTGTGGCACTTTCAACATTGTTTTGTTTGTTTGGGAACCAAAACTTATAGCAGCTCAACTATGTTTTGGGGCATAATTGCCTGCTTTTCTGACCAATAATCTGGGAATGTTTAGGAAATTTAAAATTAGTTTGGGAAATGGTCATTGTTTTAGAGCTAAAAATTACATGCTGCACCTTTAAGAATAATCAAACTGTATGTTGTTGGAAAAGTACGGTGTTGTCTGTTGTAAAACTAATTTTTCGCTGTGTGTTGTGTGTTTTAGATGATTCATCTTCTGAAAGTGGGAGTGGCAATGGGATTCACACACTGACTCCTCCCTCGGTAGGTGTGGCCGGAGTGAGTGACAGTACGGGGACGGGACCTGGATCAGGCTCGTACGCTGAGGTTAACGGCAACGGAAACGATACCGCAGCGCCACTTGACTTCAGCACGACTTCCTCGTCCTCATCCTCAGAGGACCAGCAACCAGTCAACCTCAGTGACAGACTGAGTCAGGCCCTGCCTAGTGCTGCCTCCATGCTGGCGACCTTTAACCCTGAGCACGCAGAGGAGCTGCGCAGAAAATACCCCAAATCCTCAGAGCTACGCCTTGACCGAGATATCAGGGACTATAATAACAAGGTATATATATAATCATTTAGGACCATAAAAATGCTGAATGCTACTTACAATTGTCACAATACCAAAATTTCAGTAATCAATGCCAGTAGCAATAAAAAAAAATTATTTTTTATTTAGTTTAGTATCAGCTTGGAAATTAAGTACCTGACTTTATAAGATACTTATTTGCTAATCTTGCTACTGGTAATGCCTGTAGATTTTTCCTTCACTCTTGTACACAACAGATTCATTTGTTTTGAGCGTACAATGCGAGTTGAACCCACAGATGCAAAGGCTCTCAATCAAACCTCATTCATTCAGTTAGCTAGCGTGGCACATGAGCGTTTTTCATTCAGACAGATGCAGAGAGGTTTGAACAATATGCCGAGCAAGGCTCCGGTCTGAATAGAAACTTTCATTTCATTCCTCTTTTCCATGGTCGGCCTCTGTTGCTTCCCGTCTCCTTTTTAATTGTATTGTCTTTGTGAAAAGAAGAGCGCAACACTATCTTTCAAATTAACAGATTCACAATCTCAAATGCAGCCCAAGACTCTCGGTACCGAGAATGTCTGAATAACACTGTTAGACCTTGAAGCCGTGGTTTTCATCAGCCGAAGCGCCATCGGTGGCCATGAATGGCCTAATTGATAGACTTCATCTTTTTGATACATCTTTCAGTCCGTGTCCTCCTTTGAAAGTCTTTTCTGATCATCAATACGCTCTTGCAGACAGAAGGCTTACCTTGGTTTCTTTGTGTGTTTTTGCAGTCTCCTCAATACAGTTCAGGCAGCTATGATTCAATAAAGATGGAGATATGCCCTGAAGATCTGACTGTTGGTCGGCCTCCGGCGGCTGACGATGATGACGATGACCATGATGACCACGACGATAGCGATAAGATCAATGATGTAGAAGGAGTGGATCCAGAGAGGTTGAAGGCTTTTAACGTGAGTATAAGGACATTCAACTCATGATTTTCTACTTCATAAAAAGAGCTGTAAACCATGGGGTCTGGCATGGCTTTTTATTTGTAAGTCAAATTAGAATTCCTCAATACATGTTGTATGTGTGGATTTCACTCACACCTCATACTTAGGTGAAGTAATTCATTTCTCTCTCTCTTTTTCTAGATGTTTGTGCGTCTCTTTGTGGATGAGAACCTGGACCGTATGGTGCCAATCTCTAAACAGCCTAAAGAGAAGATCCAGGCCATTATCGAGTCCTGCAGCCGTCAGTTCCCAGAGTTCCAGGAACGCGCTCGCAAACGCATTCGTACCTACCTCAAATCCTGTCGCCGTATGAAGAAGAACGGCATGGAGGTACACGCTGACATATTGAGCCCATTCTGCTTTTTGTAATGGTTAGATGACTTATATTGCCCCCTTGTGGTCAACACAGTACAGATACTGAGAAATACAGTTTTGTTTAGTGATGAAGGCAAAAATTCTAAATTAATATTGATGGAGTTGCCATTTTAAATTAAATTGACCGTGCTCCAAAATTAAAATGGCTGTAACTTTCATTGTAAAGTTTAAAGCTGAAATTCAGAGAAGGGAATTTAATTTGTCCAAAACAAGTTTTTCTACATAACTAATTTAGGCAAATTTTGTTCATGTTTTCGTCGATATACAGATATTCATATTAGACACATTTCTGTAAATTAAGTTCAAAACTGTCAAAACTATTAACAATGTTTCTATATAAGACAAAATTTATTTTTTTATATATATATATATTATATTTCTTATATATCTTTTTATAATCTACTTTATTTAACAAGGACAGAATAAATTGATTAAAAGTGACAGTAAAGACATTTATAATTTTACAAAAGATTTCTGTTTCATTTGCTCTTTCTTTTCAATTGGTTGAAGAATCCTGAAAAAAAATTATCACTGTTTCTACAAACATATCAAGCACCACAACTGATTTCAACATTGATAACAAAAAGAAATGTTTCTTAAACATCAAATCCAGCATATTAGAAAGATTTCTGAAGGATCATGTGACACTGAAGACTGGAGTAATGATGCTGAAAATTCAGCTTTGACATCACAGGAATAAATTACGTTTTAAAATATATTCAAATATAACAGTCAGCTTAATAATATTTGATAATATTACTGTTTTTGATTCAATAAATGGAGCCTTAGTGAGCACAAGAGACTTCTTTCAAAAACATTAAAAACTTGAATGGTAGTGTATAACGTTACATATAAAAGGCGATTCTGTGTTCTTTCACCATGACCCATAAAATTAGTCCATAATAGTTAATATATTAAATGTACTGTGTGTGTATTAGCAGACTCGACCCACGCCACCCCACCTGACCTCAGCCCTGGCTGAGAACATTCTAGCAGCCGCCTGTGAGAGTGAATCACGCAAAGCTGCCAAACGAATGCGCATGGATGTCTACCAGGCACACGTAAGTAGCGTTGTATAAGTGTATGTGAAGCTTGTGGAACTGTCTTGGTGTCTCTGTTTATTTTAAAACCAAGTTAGCCTGATATATTCATCTCTCTCTCTCAGGATGAGCCGTTATCTCTGGATAAGGCGGTCTCTCGTGAACCGGTCTCGCTGACCCACTCTGCATACTCCCTTGCTGCCTCAGCCTACTCCCAGGACCAGCTATACATTAATGGAGGCCTCAACTACAGTTATCGTGGTTATGGTGGACTGTGTGCCAGCATGCAACACCCCGTGTCACTGACAACAGCTACCGCCCAGACAAACGGTGAGAGAGGAAGCTGGCAGCATCCTAACTGAACTTTGCTTACTCACACAATTGCCTTATCTGTGAAAGGATACAGGATACAAGCAAAGCTGCCTTAAAATGTGATTTACAAAGTAAATTACAACATATAAGGGCTAGGATGCATTAAAAAGTGCTTCTCAACCAACCAACTAGAGGGCCAAGGGGGCTTCAGGATGACTTAAAATGAGTTAAATTCTTATCAGTGCTATTAATAATATTCTTTTTGATATATTGAAATATTCTAACATTCTAAAACTTTGATGTAATTAAAATTTTTAAAAACATACTAATGCTATAAAAACATACAATCAGGATGTAAACTGAAATCATATTGCTTTCTTCCCCTCCATAACTACTGGTTTTATTAAAGAACTTACTGTGTACATACTGAATTTTGGTTGATTAATTGAACCATATTGCCAGTTTCTATTAATAACATAATACAATTAATAAATTATATACGTGAAGTTCTGTTAATATTATATTATGTAGAAGTTTGTTAAATATTGTGTTGGACAGTGGGGCCTTCGAGTCAAAACCACTGCTTTAAAATAATGTCTAAGTAGACAGTCAACTAGGTTTTTGACAGATCTACTGGGGCTTGGTGAATTTTTTCAGTTTTTGTTTAATTTAATGTGGACATATTTCATATACAGGAAACATTTTAACTTGGTAAATTACAAACAAATGAATTTTAAAATGCAACAACTGGGCCCAAACTATGCTGTGCAATTGCTATATATTTAATGTATATATAATCAACACAACCAAAAACTGCTGCAAAAACTGCTGAAGTAAGCGGTTTCTCATGTAAAACTGTTTATTTTTTATGCTTAAAGTTATTATAAAATCTTTTTGAATTCATTAAAGGACTGACTCTTAAGAGTCATTCGTTCGTGAATCAGGCTGCACTGCATGTTTCTGAGTCACTAAAAAGACTGGTTTAAAAGAGTAATTTTTGAAGGATTGGACTACACTGGTCATGTTGTATGTGATTGCGTGCAGCCCACAAGAGTGTGCCATTATTTTCTGTTACACACTTATTTGTAACTGACTTAATTCCTATGACACTGTTGATTGGAGTAGAGTGAAAGAGCAACCTTGTGTTTTTAAGAATTTTGATCCTCTCTTAAGAGCTACCGTGTCTGTGTTCTTAGTTGTTTTTATGTCTGTAATTATATTTTTGTCCTCTCCGTTCAGGGCCTACTGATCTCAGTATGAAGTCTCTGGCCTCAAATTCATCCTCGTCAAGCTCCAGTAGTCTCGGCAGGAATGGAGGAGGAGGCGGGGCTTCAGCTCAGCTCAGCCATACAGAAGTGACGGCAGTGCGTCAGCTGATCGCAGGATACCGTGAGTCTGCGGCCTTCCTGCTACGATCGGCAGATGAGCTGGAGAACCTCATACTACAACAGAACTGAACCGATTCTCAAAACTCTCTGTCTAAACACATACCCTCGTCCCTCACATGATCCTCATCAGAGGTTTTCCGGTCACTGAGGAAAACCATCTGGCTCTTAAAGATGTTAGAAGATAGAGAAAACAGCTTCATCAAGCTTTTGCTTTCATATAATTTCAACGAGAACGGGCGAAAGATGGAGATGAATTTCAAAAGGACACTTCGGTGCAGAAGCGGATGGTTCGATGCGTCCTCCACAAACTGCTCCCACATTTCATGCCTTCTCCATGGCCTCCCTCTGTTTAACTGCCATTCGTTCCCCGCTGAAAGCCATCGATTTCTGATTTTCTTTGTTTTTAGCTACTTCAAAGGAGGAATTACGGAACGTCAATCCTCCAGACGGCACTAACTAAATGAAGACACTTTTGATTTGGAGGCGTAATGGAAAGAAAGAAGATAAGAAAAGCAAGAAGAAAAATAATAGACCTTTGTATTTGCTGTAAATAAGCACTCGCAGTGTCCTGAAGCACTTTTCCATTCATTCTGACCTCTGAATCATTAATTTATGCATATAGATACGCAGGTGGAAGCTCACCTGGAAATACCTCAGCCTGTCTGTCCTGCTCTCTCTCTCTCCCATCATTCCCCTCTCTGTGTGTGGGAGAAGAAAATTATCACCTGTCCGTCCTCGACTTCGCAGTCCACTGATTTGGGCATCGAAAGGAGAGAGTGGGAGTGAATTTGTCATTTCTGTAATTGAACTGCGGATTTTCTTTTCCACCTCCTCCAAATGTGTTGTACTGTATATATTCCAATCCATTTCAAGGTACTGATGGCAAAAATACACTGGACTTGTTTTGGGAATGGACCTTTCCTGATGCATTTAAACACTTTGGTCTCACAGATGCCAACTCTTTGTTTCCTCTCTACGGGTCACCCTCTATTCTCCTCTTCTCTATGTGTCCTTCCATTTCTCCTGTACGTCCTTTCTCCTCCTCCACCTTATTATTCTGCTTTGGAGGGAGATGGAGAGGAAGGATCCGGAATGGAAGCTTGTTAGTCTTGTATCTGTTGACTTTTCTTAATGGCCATTAATCCACTCTGCTGCTATGGACTCCAACGTAACGCCACAGACCTGAAACCTCAAGCCTCCCAAACACAACCAGAGCACCTCAAGGCAAAATAAAACAAGGCAAAAAAAGTCTGAAACGGAAGCCAAATCCAAAAGAAATATTTAAAAAAACTGCCGTTTTGCATTCTGGTCGAGAGTGTTTGATTTCATACTGAGGGCTGCTTGTGTTTGCTTTTGTTTGATTTGTTCTAAAAGTGCGGTGTGTGCTTAAATCTCGAGATCAACTGGGATCAAATCGTCTTTGGCACAAGAGCTTGGCGCATACACGAACACGTGTACGACACGAACAGACACGCTAAAGGGTCTGTAGTGAACTGAATATTTAACAGGAGAGGTTTAAAATGTGTAGTTAGTGAGGTAGATTTGTTTAGGGACTGACTGGCAGTAATGTCACTGTAATTTGCTCCATTTGCACACAGAGGCAGCGCTAATCTGTGATTGAGGAGCTCGGCGCCGGCTCCGTGTTGTACTGCTAGTGGGGGATGGAGAAAGAATATCGCAATGCAGAAGATAATCAAACGCATTTCTGGCCCTAAAGGAGACAGACTAATACAGAGAGGCTACCATGACATGACCCCTGCTGAGGAGCCTTCAGAATCATTCATAATCACATGACCGGGACCTACTTATGATCGAAAGCCATGATGATGTGTGAGTGTGACCAGAGATTGCACTGCCCTCTTAAGACAAGTTTGTGTGCAATTTTGACACCCCTGACATGTAGAAGTAATGATTTCTTGATGTGTTATATTTATGGTAGGCCTTCACAGTCCAGCCTCCTACTTGGATATTGAGTTGTTGATTAGAATTGCAATAGACGTGAAGACATGCAAAATTGACAGCGTGAGGCCTCTCCTCACTGTGTTTAACATCGCTCTGATCACAAAAGGGTCCTTGACCTCTCTCATCTGTAACTGTCTTCGCTGTTTCTTTTATTTCAGGAGAGAACTTACAGTAATAAGGAAATAAGGGGAGATATATAAATTAGTGCTGTCAAACGATTAATCGCGATTAATCACATTCAAAATAAAAGTTTTTGTTTACTGTGTATGTTTATATAAATACACACTCATACAGTATATATTTGAATAATATTTACATGTATATACATTTATATATTTATATTCTTATATTTTATAATATATATATAAATATATTTAATATATAAACAAACATATTTTTCTTAAATATATACATGCATGTGTTTGTATTTATATATACATAAATATGCACAGATATATTATGTAAACAAAAAACTTTTATTTTGGATGCGATTAATCGCGATTAATCGTTTGACAGCACTAATAAATATTTAATAATATTGAAACTTTAAAATTGTTTAAATATTTTTACATATTTAAAAATGTTACATTTCCTAAGTTTAACACCAAAATAAATAAAATAAGAAACCTTAATGAACTTTAGGTTCATTACAAACTCAGTCATTTAAAATGGAAATTATGTACAGTTTACAGTAAAATACTGTAATTCATATTTATTACAGTATGTGTAACACATAAATGTAATATTTATTTTTTATATTTTTTAATTCAATTGACAAATTGAGATGTTTAAGTACTGTATTTTTTTATTTGCATTATGCTAATTAAAATTGGGGATAAATATGCTTAAGTCATATAACAAAAAATAACTAGAACAAATTACAAAAAAAAAAAAAGGTCCAAAAATAGTCTTCACAAAATACAATTTCAGATTTGTGTCTTTTGATTTTTGCAGTGAAATTTGACCTAGACATGTTTCTGACCAATTTGACCTGCACATTCATTGGGTCCTCTCTCCTTATTTTCTATGCTTTTGCCATTTCTGTTCATCTCTCTCTGTCTCACCTGCTTTTCTTTTCCACATTGTCTGCAGTAGACACAGATGTTGAGAGGTCAGGTAAAAGGGAATTCTAGCTGCTGTCTCGGTCATCTGTCTTTCTCTCGTTGAGGTCTGATATGGGTCCCACTGCCGTCTGATTATACGCCACCCTCACATGCTACTGAGCTCTTATATGGGTTTCTAAAACCATACAATGGAGATGGAACTGCAAACCACATCTGTGTGGAAAGAAGCTGAAAAAAGCGAAGCGTTCATCTGTTGGTAAGGTGTTTCTTCTCTCCAGTTCACTCAAGGACAGCTACCGAAAAACAAACTGTAAAACAAGGCAAACGACAATCTTGAAAAAGGTGTAACTCGTTCACAGTTTTGTTCCCATGCTCTGTGTTGCGTGTGTGGTCGTACAGCGCAGTGTGTCCATGGAGAGTGAGGGCTATTCTAGCCATAATCAGAGCATCTCTCACTCTCGGTTCTCACGCTAGCCGCTGAAGATGCCTTGTGGCCCACTGTCGAAAACCTTTTTATCTGATTCCTATTTCTATTATAATGATCTCAATTACTATTCTTTTCTAATTCTTTTTGTATGGCAAGTGGTCTTTTCAGAACCGTTTTGTACCGACATCACATGTGAAGTTTGTCCCGTATGCCTATAACATTCCAAACAAGGATGTCAACATGCCAAGCAGCCAGCCTAACCACGGTCACATCGGATTGCAGATACACACACCGAGGGCAAAATCAATCCCACAGGCTTTAAAGTGTTAGTTACGTCGAGAGCCTGATGCCTGATTTCCCTTGCGTCACAAACCCTTAAAGAACTGTTATCTCTGTAGTGTATGACTGAGATGTTTGGGAAACTATGTTTTCTGATTAGTTATGCGCCGTGCCTTTAAAGGGGCTTAACCGAACTGATTGTCATATACGTATGTCCCTTTATTTTATTAGAAACCCCTTCAGCTCTCCATATCTGCTGTCATATGGTACCTCAAGGTGTCTTTTTTTGTTCAATCAGCACCGCAATCTACTGTGATATTAACTAAACAGGCCACCTGTCATAAAGACATCACACACAAACACACGGACGGTCCTATACAGGTTCAGGCTTTGCATTCAGGTGTGACGCTGGTTATGGTTGCTGCTAAACTACACAACTTAAGAAAAATGCTTTGGTTTGATCAGATGTATAGCTCTGGAAAAAAAAAAAAACAACAACTTGACTTTTATTTTTCTACCACAGTGGTGTACAGCTGCATTCAAGTTCATGTGGTTCCCCATTTTGGTCTGTTCTCTTTTCTAATTTGTTGGTGCTTTTCTTTACCATCCCGTCTCGGTTTCCTCCTGGTGTCGGCTCTGGTTTTGATATGTACCTAATACCAATGTGAAACTGTCTCTTTCTTTCTTTCTCATTCTGGACTCAGTGGAAGTGTGATGTTTACATGTACAGATTTTTGAGATTCTCTTTCTTTTTTGTTGTTGTTCTCTTTTTTTGTTGGTTTTTAATTTAAATGATTTCCCTTCTTCTGTTCGGGCACTGCTTAATTTGATCTGATTCCTTTATAGTGAAGGGAAATGGGACTTGCAGCAATTTTCCATGCATTTACAGTAAGACAAGACAGTGTTTTCGTCTGGGAGACCCCCATCACTGACCCCAATCACTTTCTTTAACTGCTGTCAACAGATACACAAATTGAAGAAGGCTTGTTGTAAATGAATCTTTTCCTCTGACCATTAGGGACGACATGGCCGTCTGTTCCTTAATGATTAAAAGCCATTATCACACCCTTCGTCGGGTGCAGACATCAAGTATTAGAGTACAAGAACAGCAGAGTAAAAACCTCAGGTAAATGATTGCTGTTTTATATTTGAAAAAGAAGTCCTATCAGCAACCCATTTCCCACTTTAATACCATAATATATACAAAATCTTTTTTTTAATATTTATTGTGTTATATATATATAACAGTGAATACTTTTTCAGTACATGTGGCTAAATATTTTAATTCTTTAGAAAAGTGTTGATACATACATATGTGAAGAAACTGAAAGATTGAATGAAAAAAATCAATTTTTGTTGTTTAATGCAAACAGCATGGGTGGCTCCTAACATATCACTTTCATTAATGAAAACCAATGATTTGAGATGAAGCTTTCTCCAGTGGGATGTCACTGACATGACATTGTGACTTTTTTTTCTCCCAAGCTGTACGTCACAAAGCTAAATATACTAATAAAACTGTGCTATATATCAAACCCGGCAGATGTATTTCTTTTCTTCTCCCTAAGGAAAAATTATTTTGAATCAGCATCAATGTATTTGTCTGTTAACTAACTAAAACTGCTTACATTGGACCTCATGATAAAAATTGCTTCATAAAAGAACTTAAATCAGTCTCACTGATCCACCATGGTCCATGACAATCTTCAAATACTAAGCTATTTCCTCTTGTGCGTAGTTGTCAGTTTATTTAGGCATCTTGATTTGTATTATTATGGCCCACTTGGAAGGCTTTTAATGCTTGTGTGGTTCAGAAATGCAGGGATAGGGTTAAGCACTGGCCTAGTTCAGAGGGGTTGAGTAAATTATATTGCATATTATAAAAGGTATTATTTACTATTACTGGTCTGAAATGAGGGTTGAGTAATTTATATTGCATATTGTAAAAGATAATTATTTACTTCACAATGTAATACAGTATATGTGATGTACATGATTTAAATTTTTGACATCGCCTCACTCAGTCAATATTAAAGACATCAAGGTTACATTTTCACAGAATGTTCTTTACCTTATGCAGGATGATTTTTTTTTTGTAGAAAACCGTAAATCACAAAAAAAAAAGACTTTAGCTGGGTTTTCACAGCCAGGGTCACATAGCCTCTATATCCCACAGTTTTAAGCCAATATACATTAGAGCCATACAGGAGTCGCATCAAGGTGGCAATTTTACAGTGTGTTTACTTTACAAAGACCTTTTAATGACGCTCAGATAAGATTCGACCTAAATATATTTACACACAAATCACGGACGCGGGAAACAATGTATCACGTGGACAGGACACACGCTCAAACGTTGGCTATATGTTCCTGTGCATAAAGACAGTCTGCCTGCTTTCCTGTCATACTAAAGTTTTTAGAACAGCTCTATTCTAGAATCTCCTTCCTTTCATTTTATGTGATGCCCAAATATATTTAGTGAGTGATTTATATACATCTCCAGTAGCCTAACCTCGTTAGCCTATACTTTCTAAATGACAGAAACCTAGAAGTCATTCAGAAAATATAGCCCAGAATACGCAAAATAAACAGAAAATCATTAAAGCACTAAACTGCCCAAAATAATATATATATATATATTTTTTACTATTAAGTACAAAATCTGAATACAACAAACTGGCATTAATTAGTATACAAAAAAGATTCTGGTATGGAAGGCTCAACACAATAGAATCATAATAAGCTCCAGACAAATCATATAACAAAACATTCCAAGAAACATAAAATAAAAATAAATGAAATAACAAAAAATACATAATTACAACAAATTATATAATAAATAAAAATGACAAATGCATACAACAACATTTCAAAACTAAACATTTAAATGAAAACAAAAAAATAAAGCTAAAAACAATTCAAAATATTAAAAGAACAAAAGGTATGAGTATAATAATGATTCTAACATATAATATAATATAATATAATACAAATTAAGTCGTTTTACTGCTTTTGGATTTTTCATTTTACTAAGGGCAGCTGAGAAGTATTTTAGATCAATTTTAAATACAATAAACAAAGGAGGGGATTTAAAATATCTACATTTATGTATAAAGTATTTTGGCCCCAAATAATATTAAACAGCAATACAAACGCCAGTGTGACGTCACCGCTCACGGGCGGGCCCCCAATATTTGCTGTGCACCACTGGTAGTAACTAGAATTAGCACAACTATTTAAAACAATAAGGCTACATGTCAACTGGAAGTCCCCGTCGTGTATATGTGTGTGTGTGTGTGTGTGTTAAAAACGAATAGGCCAGAATAGTATTATTTTCAACTGCTCACTCGCACGATACGCACGCAACCGAGCGTGCTGAAATGTCCATAAACACAAACATTTGCGGAGATGTAAGAATTGTATGATTAGAGGCGAATCTA